ACGGGGTTTTGCCATTTTGGCCAGGCTGGTCTCAAACTCCTGACCTCAAGTGATCCGCCTGCCTTGGCCTTCCAAAGTACTGGGATAACAGGTGTGAACCACCATGCCCAGCTTTAAATTGCATCTTTTAAAAGAAAAAGAGAGCTCAGAATCTGAATCAGTTACCTGAGGCCCTTTATCCTGCAAGGTTCTGAATTAGGATGTTCCTATTTAACATAGAAGAAAATGTAAAAGTGATTTATATGGTAGATAACCTTAAGGTTCAGGGCTAGAAATTTAAATGGTTTGCCTCCAAGATGGCACCCAATGAATGATCCCTGTACCACGATTGGTCTATGTGACCAAAAGCATACAGCATTAGTGATGGTACTTACATCACTTGGGTGATTACATTATAAAAGATGTCCATTTTGGGTGTTCTTTCTCTCTTTCTCTTGCTCAGAGACAAGCAAGCTGTCATGTTATAAGCAGCCCTTTGAGGGGTCCATGTGATGTCAAAGAATGAAGTCTCTAGTCAACTTTTAATGAGGTCTTGAGGCCCATAAACAATCTTGAGTGAGTTTGGAAGTAGCTCCTTCAGCATCACTTGGATGTTGAGATGACTACTGACAGCTTTACTGCAACCTCATGAAAGTCTTCTGAACCAAAACCACTCAGGTAAGTGGCTCCCAGATTCCTGATCCTCAGAAACTGTGAGAAATAATGAATGTTTGTTGTTTTAAACTGCTAAATTTTAAGGTATTATGTTATGCAGTAATAGATAACTCATATACAAATTATTTGAATCAAACAATATGTTAAATGAAAAATCAAAAGAATAAACATCTATAATTTCTTGATTTGTTTTCCCTTCTATTCTGCACAATGGAATTTTATAGATGAACCTCATAATTACTTGTGCAATATACTTGTGAAGTATATTGTATTGGTTAAGTGCATAGCCTTTGAATGTATGCTAGTAGAAAGACCAGTATTCAATTACTTTTTTCTTCAATTCCAAGCTTGTGAGCTTGAGTAAATTTAAAGTTTACTAAGCCTCAGTTTCCTGGGATGGTAGTGCTTAGCTCAAGCTCCTAGCATATATTAACTATAAACCAAATATTAGTTATAATTATTTGTTTTAGTTTGATTATTGGCTCTAAATAAATGCCTTAAGAACGATGTGTTCTCCATAGATTTGGATATGTCGGGACGTTATATAGGCTGGAGCAGTCAGCAATTACTTGCCTGAGGAAGGGAAAGTCTCCAAAGAACAGACTCCTCCTTTAAGAAAAGAGTAGGCCAGGTACAGTGGCTCATGCCCATAATCTCAGCCTTTTGGGAGGCTGAGGAGGGCAGATCACCTGAGGTCAGGAGTTTGAGACCAGCCTGGGCAACATAGTGAAACCGTGTCTCTACTAAAAATACAAAAATTAGCCAGGTGTGGTGGCACACTCCTGTAGTGCCAGCTACTTGGGAGGTTGAGGTGAAAGGATCGCCTGAGCCTGGGAGGCGGAGGTTGCAGTGAGCTGAGATTGTGCCACTGCACTCCAGCCTGGACAACAGAGCAAGTTTCCATCTCAAAAAGAAAAAAAAAGAGTAGAAGGTCCAAACTCAGTCCAATATTAGAGCTTCAGCATCAGAGTAGAGAATGATTCAGAGGGTCTGTTCAGCGTCTGCTGTAGATCCCGCAGATCTGTGTTTGGATGCTTCTGGTAAGGAGTGTATGGCAGCTGTACCTGACAGATGCACTTGGCAGCAATAACTTGTGCATACCTGAAGGATGACCCTATGGTCTAAGAAGAATGTGTATTCAGAGCTCCAAGCTAAGGAATGTGGGAGTGTCCAACCCAGAGATTTCATTTCTTATCTATGAGGAACTTCTGAACTGCTCCCACACCCAGCCCATCCTGTAGAATGCAGGCCCTACTAGGTGATCAGAGCCCTTTGTTTAAGTTAAATGAAGGTTGCCTGGAAGAGGTTGCTAGGGTACAGGTGTTAAGTAAAAGTGCTATACAAACTGCATGCTTTTTTTTTGGAGACAGAGTTTTTGCTCTTGTTGCCCAGGCTGGAGTACAATGGTACAATCTTGGTTCACTGCAATCTCCGCCACCTGGGTTCAGGTGATTCTTCTGCCTCAGCCTCCCAAGCAGCTAGGATTACAGGCACCTACCACCAGGCCTGGCTAATTTTTTGTATTTAGTAGAGACAGGATTTTACCATGTTGGTTAGGCTGGTCTCAAACAGCTGACCTCAGGTGATCTACGAGCCTTGGCCTCCCAAAGTGCTGGGATTATATGTGAGAGCCACCGAGCCTGGCTAACTGCATGATTTTTACAAGTAGTTTTGGTTCTCCTGCCCAGCCCACTGACACTGGACTGCCCTTTATGTAAGGCCCCTCAATAAATCTTATGTCTCATTTGCTGGTTCTAGGTCTCTTCTTCAGCCTCTTGAACATGGTACCATCCTTACTGAAGTCAGTGGGGTCTGGCATGACAAGGGAAACTTGAATAAAATCTGAAATAGCTATTTTTTTCCTTGCCAAAATCCCTGTAATATGTTACTTACCTTGGCCTCAGAACATCAAACTATGACTCAAGAGTGGAGAAACAGAAGTCTGTCCATGTCATCAGACAACATCCCAAGTGGGATGTCATCACCCCAATGCATACCGGCATTTGGGCAGAGTAGAGCAGCTGCAGCCTAGCAAGACTTGGCATAATTCTGTTAGTTTGCACAGTAAAATGAGAAATCACATTTCTGCTGTTATGTGATCCTGCATTTTAACTCGAGTTTGTTTGGCCTGGACAGATAGGTAACTAGCCGTGAAAACAGTGGACCTTGAAACATTCTGAAGACATAAAAAGAATGTAATAAAATACTTTGAACAACTGTTTAAGGACTTAAATGTCCATATTCTTTAGATGAGTATAATTTCCAATGTGAAACCTCACAGTTTGGCTTCAAGAGATACAAGACAGGTTTTTGAATTCCGCAGAAAAAATAGTGCATTGCATTGCAACAAACTTGACCATCCTATTCCTGGTAGTAGAAATGTAAATTCCTTCCCTTCAGAGATACCTGCAGAAATGAAATATGAAATATGCCGCTTGCATTTTAAAGACTGCTTATTGCATTCTAGAATAGATGGAAAAGACATTAGTGAGGGCCAGCATAGAATTATGAGTTTTCCCGAAAGACTTATGTATGTATGTGACATGGCAGGAAAATTGGGTCACTAATGTTTTTCACTTTTTCATTCATTTGGCAAACATGTGAATAGATCGACATGTGTCAAACACTGTTCTGGGTTCTGGGAATTGAGGAAAGAAGCTATCTGTTCTCATGGAGCTCACATTTTACTTGGAGGATGGGAGGCTGACAATAACCTTGTATAAATAAATACAAATTTGAGGTAGTGGCAAGTGCCAAGGAGAAAGAAAAGAGAGTAATGGCATAGAATGACAGTCATTGGGTAGCTGCTTTAGATGAATACTGAGTGAACATGCTTCTTAGAAGGTGATATCTGAGCTGAGAGGCAAAGGATGAGAAGGAATCTGTCATGTGAAGACCTGGGAAGCAGGTGTACTAAGCAGAAGAGCAGTAAGTACAAAGACCGTGAGGTAAGGGATGTGCTCGGGGTGACTAAGTAACAGAGGGAAGGAAGACCAGCATAACTAGAACATAGTGATCAAATTCAGTAGTGTTGGAACATAAGTCAGAGACATTGGCAGGAGGCCAGTATTTATGGACGCCAGATTGTCTAGTGCCTTGTAGATAGTGGCAAGGAGTTTGGATTTTATTCTAGGTGGAACACTACCAGAATCTTTTCTTTTCTTTTTTTTTTTTTATAAAGATGGGGTTTCACCACATTGGCCAGGCTGGTCTCAAACTCCTGACCTCAAGTGATCCGCCCACCTCAGCCTCCCAAAGTGCTGGGATTACAGGCATGAACCACCATGCCTGGCCTTCTTTTCTCTTTTCTTTGCTTTTCTTTTCCCTTCCTTCTTCCCTTTCTCCTTTCCTCCTTCCCTCCCTCCCTTCCTCCCTCCCTCCTTCCTTCCCTTCCCTTCCCTTCCTTTCCCTTCCCTCCCCTCCCCTCCCCTCTCCTCCCCTCTCCTCCCATCCTCCCTCTCTTCTTCCCTTTCCTCCTCTCCCCTCCCCTCCCCTCTCCTCCCCTCTCCTCCCATCCTCCCTCTCTCCTTCCCTTTCCTCCTCTCCCCTCCCCTCCTCTCTCCTCTCTGCTCTGCTCTCCCCTCCCCTCCCCTCCCCTCCCCTCCCCTCCTCTCCTTTTTTGAGACAGGGTCTCACTGTCACCCAGGCTGGAGTGCAATGGCATTATCTTGACTTGCTGTAACGTCTGCCTCCTGCGCTCAAGCAATCATCCCACCTCAGTTTCCCTAGTAGCCAGGACTACACATACCACACCCAACTAATTTTTGTATTTTTTATAAAGATGTGGTTTTGCCATGTTGCCTAGGCTGGTCTTGAACTCTTCCCACTTCAGCCTCCCAAAATGCTGGGATTATAGGCATGAGCCATTGCACCTGGCCTGTCAGAGTATTTTCAAGCAGAAAACATCAGGCCTTATTTCTAGCATAAAAAGAACATTCTGGCTGTTATATAGAGAATGGACTGTAGAGAACAAGAATGAAAGCAGGTTGACTGATTAGAAAGCACTGCAGCATTATAGGCAAGAGATTATGATGGCCCGAACTAGAGTGGTAACTGTGGAAGCAATAAATGGATGCATTCAGAATATTTTTGAAAGCAAAAGATGACATGATTTACTATTGGATGTGGGCATGAGAAAAGGAAATTAAGGATGATTCCTGGATTTTTAGCTTAAGCAACGTTGTAGCTTTTCATGACTGTTTTTGAAATGGGAAAATTTAGGGGATAGGGGTTTTGGAAATTAAGAGCTTTTTATTTTTGTTTTTTGCTTTTTAAAAATTGTGGTGAAATAAACATAACATAAAATTTACCATTTTAATCATTCTTAAGTGCGTTAAGTACATTCATATTATGCAACCATTACCATTATCCATCTGTAGAACTCTTTTAATCTTGAAAAATTGAAACTCTTTAGCTATTAAACAATAACTCCCCACTCCCCTCCTTACCCTAGCCCCTGAAAACCATTCTATAATGCAGAAGTCTCTATGAATTTGACCACTCTTAGTTGGAATCACAGTGTTTATCCTTTTGTGATTCACTTTTATTGTCACTTAGCATAATGTCTTCAAGGTTCATCCATGTTGTAGTATATGTCAGAATTGCCTTTCTTTTTGAGACTGAATACTATTCCATTATATGCGTATACTACATTTTATTTACCCATTCATCCATTGATGGACACTTGGGTTGCTTCTGTCTTTTGCCTATTGTGACTAATGCTGCTGTGAACATGTATGGACAAGCATCTATTTGAGTACTTGCTTTTAATTCTTTGGGTATATGCCCAGAAATGGGGTTACTGGATCATATGGTAATTCTATATTTAATTTTTCTTCTTCTTCTTTTTTTTTTTTTTCAAGACAGGGTTTCACTATACTGGTCAGGCTGGTCTCAAACTCCAAACCTCAGGTGATCTGCCCGCCTCCGCCTCCCAAAGTGCTGGGATTATAGGCGTGAGCCACCGTACCCGGCTATATTTAATTTTTTTAAGGGATTGCCATACTGTTTCTCCAGTAGCTGTACTGTTTTACATTCCCACCAACAGTGCACAAGAGTTCCAGTTTTTCCATGTCCTCATTAATACTTGTTATTTTCTCTCTCTGTGTGTGTGTGTGTGTGCTTAACAGAAGCTATTCTAATGAGTGTAAAGCAGTATGTCATTGTGGGTTTGATTTGCATTTCCCTAATGATTAATTATGTAGAGCATCTTTTCATGTGCTTATTGGCAATTTATGTATTTTCTTTGGAGAAATGTCTACTCAAGTATTTTGCCCATTTTAAAATAAGGATTTTTATTGTTGTTTGTTGAATTGTAGGAGTTCTTTATATATTTGGGATATTAACCACTTATCAGATATATGATTTGCAAATATTTTTCCTATTCCATAGGTTGTCTTTTCACTATTGATTATATCCTTTTATGCACAGAAGTTTTAAATTTTTGATGTAGTCCAATTTTTCTATTTTTTCTTTTGTTGCCTGTGTAAGAATTTTATTTTAAATGCAATTTTGGGATGTCCGTTAGAAATCCAAGTCAAAATGTCAAATAGACAGCTGAATATATGAGTCTGAAGGTCATAAGAGCGATCAGGATGATATATAAATTAGGGAATCATCCACATAGATGGTATTTAAAGCCATGGGTCTGGATAGAATCACCCAGGAGAGAAGTAACATAGAAACATGTAGGTTTCCCTAGGGAATACAGTTGTCTTAGAGTAAAATTCCATAGAAAGAGATCAGGAGGTCTTGGCTGAGTTAAATTTGGATAACATAAGTTATTAACTATGTTAATATGTTCTTCTAAGCTAGGTGCCAGGTTAGGGTAGAAATTCGGAGGTCCTGGGTAAGTACCAATTTGTTCTGCTATTGTATTATTACAAGAATAATACTAACAATAGCCCATGACCTTGTTTCGTCCTCACAGTAGCTCTATGTGATCTATATTCTTGTCTTCACTTTACAAAGAAACAAAAGAGAAGTAAAGTAATTTACCCAGTTGCTACAGTTAGCATGTGGTAGGTCCAAATTAGAGCCCTGGTCTGTCTACATGATGGTTAATTTTATTAGATAGCTAGTAAAACATTATTTGTGGGTGTGTCTGTGAGGATGTGTCCGGAGAGGTTCACAAGCTTTTGAATCAGTAGACTGAGCAAATAAGGTCTGCCCTCACCGATGTGGGCAGGCATCATCCAATCCACTGAGGGCTCCTGCTCACAAAGAACAAAAAGGCAGAGGATGTGCTTATAGTTCCAGCCACTTGGAAGTCTGTGGCAGGAAGATGCTGGAGCCCAGGAGTTTGAGGCCAGCCAGGGCAACATAGCAAGGCCTTTTTCTTTAAAAAAAAATTTTTTTTTAAGGCATAGGAAGGGCAAATTCTCTCATTCCCTCTCTTCTTGAGCTGGGACATCCATCTTCTCCTCCCTTCAGGAAATCAGAGCTCCTTATTCTTGGACTTTCTGACTCTAGGACTTACACCTTACCCTGTTCCCCTCAGTCCTTCAGACTTGGACTGAATTACAGCATCACCTTTCCTGGTTCTTCAGCTTGCAGATAGCATGTCATGGGACTTCTTAGCCTCTGTAATCACATGAGCCAGTTTACATAGTAAATCTCCTCCTATTGATCTTTACCTATATTTACAATCCTATTAGTTGGGTTTCTTTGGAAAGCCCTAACATCCCTTTATCCACAGTTTTGTTTTCTGCAGTTACAGCCAACTGGGTAAACCAAATAGGTGAGTAAGTACATTAAAATATTTTGAGAGAGAGACACAGACATTTGCATGACTTTTATTATAGTATATTGTTATAATCATTCTATTTTATTGTTAGGTATTTTTATTAATCTCTTACTCTGTGTAATTTATAAATTAAATTTTATCATAGGTTTGTATGTATAGGAGAAAAACCTAGTATATATTGTGTTCAGTACTATCTGAGGTTTCAGAAATCCCCTGGAGTTCTCGGAATGTAGCCCCCTGCCTCCAAGCCTGCACTCTCAATTACTGATGCTACATCCCATTACTCTGAAAGATGAAATCTAGCCCTGAGCCCTTATCAACTGGCTGCATTAGATCATTTTAGATGTCACCACAGTCACATCTGTGTGTGATGAATGGTCCAGGAGAGATGGTGCTATTCTTGCCACCTTTGTTAGCCTGACTTGCATTCTCTTCTGAATACTCTGGGTCTTATTAACACTGTGCCAGGTTGTCGTATACCCCAAATAAAGAAAAAGAAGGTAGATGGACACAGTATACATATTAGGCCCAACAAAAGTTATGCTTTTACTCACTTTCCTCTTCAGTTTAGATACTACTGTGGTCCTTTGCTTCAGTTCCTGCATTGTCTTGTCATTCTGTTCACCCGAACTGCAAGGCCCCAAATCCACCCATTTGGTCACTGCACTACTACCCTGGGTCACTGGAGGAAACCACACAAGATGTGAGTTGATGTTTCTACACATTTACATTTCCAATCACAATTGGACCATCAGCCCACTTGTTACTCTCTCAATCCACGTTTCCTCACACCAGACTAGACTGAACCCACAGATGCAAGCTCACTCTGTCACCCAGGATAGAGTGCAGTGGTGTGATCTCAGCTCACTACAACCTCTGCCTCCCACGTTCAAGTGATTCTCCTGCCTCAGCCTCCCAAGTAGCTGGGATTACAGGAGCCTGCCACCATGCCCAGCTAATCAGCAGCCTCCTTTCTTTCCTGTGTCTTAAGTCAGCATCCTGGATTGAGAGTGAAGAGTAAAATGGTTTGACTTATTATGAGCTTAGACTTTGCAAAACTGGTAAACAAAAGGACTGGGGTAGTGGCAAGAGTGTGAATGGACTGAAGGGATCACAAGGTATAAAGTGGAAGGGAAAGGAAATGATATCAGGTGAGAGCTGAAGGGTTGGGAGGAAAACAAAAGATCATAAAGTGAGATGGAG